ACTTGTTTGCTGAATGTTATACCTTAAAAATGTCAGTTGCTCAGGTCTCGGTGTGAGGTCGTATCTGTGGAAGAGACTACAGAAGTATCTCTGTGCCAATTAGTATCTCTGTGCCAATTTTCTTTTCTTTACAATTGTTTTAAAGTCATAGATTTCAAATATTAGAGTACTGTAAGAAAAGGTTACATAGCAGGCCAAAAGTTCATGACAATTGCCAGATTGTGTTATTTATTTACCACCTGGCTGTATTACAAGTCCCTGTGTGTACAGTATCAAGTACATATTCTTAGCATGTCTACAAAGCGCCTTTGAAGTCATAAATGTTAGGTAATTTTTACTGCTTAGCTATCAAAAATGTTATACAAAAGAAATGTTTTCCTCTTCTCTGCCAGCACTGTGACTAGGCAGGTCTGAAGCAATTCGAATATATTGGTTCTCATGTGTTCTCTCTCCTTCCTTATTCCAGCTGTCACTACAAATTACCCCGCTGTGTGAAAGCGAACAACACTATGAATACTCTGGACGGTGCTGCACAAAGTGTGAGCCAGGTATGTGGGCACTGGGCTGTAGCAGCTTCAGAACTGAAGAGCTCATTAAAACCAGCTCTGTGAGTCAGTAAGGCAGCTCAGTCTTGCGACTCTGCTAATCTATTGGCACATACTCTTGCAGGTACATGATTTTAGGCTTACAAGTGCCTTCTGGTGCAGGAGTGGCCCTGCTGACCTCATCAAAAGCCATAGCAGTTATTTTGTTGGGATAGCACTTAACCACTGCAGGAGATAGAAAGCAACTTGATTCTTGTGAACGTAGGTAGGGCTGCTCCCAGGCCATAGGCTTTGTGGATGTTTCAGTGCCACACTAGATGGGGGCCAGACTGAGGAAGTGAAAAGGTGGCAGGAAGAAATGATTGTCCACAGCAGTGTTAGCCCAACCTGTTATTTTCCCTAAGCTCCTTAGACAGCTAGTGTGCAACTTGCAAACAGCCTACTTGTCCTTCTGTCATTCACAGGAAAGTACATGTCTGCCAGATGCACTGAGACTTCTGATAGTGTGTGCAAGCCATGTGGCCCAAATGAGTACATGGATGTCTGGAATGAAGAAGATAAATGCTTACTACATAAAATATGTGATCAAGGTGAGCTGTTCATACTGAAGAACCTTTCAATCCAAATTAATGAAGCACAAATATGGGAAAGTGGATCTGGGAAAGTGGATCTAGGGAAGTGGCTTTGTTTGGGTACCCAGCACTGGAGGCTGGGCTTGGAGAAGAGCCTGATGGAGAGGGAGGTCCCCAGACAGCAGAGCTTCTGTGCTGAGCACCGCAACCACAGTCTCCATGCTACTGATAATTGTTATCTTCACTGGGGCCATTCACCTCCTGTGAGTTGATCTTAAAAGCTGTCCTTTTGCCCAGCACACCGTGCATTCACTTCCTCTTAACACATTCATCTCCCCATTGCAAAAGGTTTATTTCCCACAGCAGCAACAAGGAAAATAAGTATTGTTCAGGAGTGCAATCAGTGAAGAGCTCCCTGTACTGATCAAGGGTCTGCTACGCTTCTTCAAAGATAACATTTCCTCTAACATGGGTGGGTTTGCGTCTGCATTTAGGCAAAGTCAATAGGTAGAACAGGAGGTTCATAAACTTGAGGCTTATTACCAAAGACATTTTTACTCCCATCTGCTTTCTCTTTCAGGGAAAGCCCTGAGAGAAGTGAACCCAGGGAACAGCACTTTCCAGAGGCAGTGTGCTTGTACAGTGGGCTACCACTGGAATGAAGACTGTGACTGCTGTCAGCGAAATACCATATGTGCTCCAGGATTTGGAGTCAAGCATCCTGGTAAGATACAGAAAGGGGACATACAGAGTGAAATGTCCAGCCTTGGCCTACAAGGTAAGGCCAGCATTATGTGCGTTGTGATGTTAGAGAGGACACTTTGGACTCTCAGATGACTGCCAACAGAAGATGCATATCTGAGTTATCTTTACTACTGCATATGATCCTCCTGGACTATTTGCATTTTGAAGGCTTCTATGTTTGTAGTTAAAGTAGTATCTTGTATCAAGTGATTTTTACAAGATAGCATGTGGACCTGGCACTAGTTGCAAGGTGTTCAGTGTATTTCTAGTGCTTGCTGAGGTGTCTGACTGTGAGTCACTAGGTCATGAATTGTTCCAGTGTTCAGAACAGCAGTCCATTCAGAGAAGCAATCTTCAGGGATTGTTCCTGAGGTTGGATTTGAAATCAGGTTTCAACGACTTTGCATTGGCATTTTATAGTGTTATAAGCAAGCTGAAAGTTGTAATGAGCACTGAGAAAAGCTGTGCCAAGCATGTGAGGAACCCCAAAAAAGCAGTATGTAATAGAGTCATGGAGGATGAAATGCTGCATGGACTGGAGCACAGTAGTGCTGTTTTTTCTCCACTCTAGCAAGTCCTGATGATACAGCATTTTGTTTACTGTGGCTTCACAGAAGTGACAAAACCAGTTAGTGTCACTGTCTGTGGCATAGCATTGACATGAGGAAGTTAATGGAAGGGGAAGGATATAATAGCTGTGTGTTATTTCACAACAACTACAAATGGCTCCTGGTCATTTCTCATTTTGATCATGTAGAGAAGTACTCAGGTGAGACTAACATATTTTTTTCTGTTTACATGTGACTGTGATTGCTGCTCCAATGTAATCTAAGATCCTTCTCTTGTCAGGGAAGCTTTCAAGGGGGCTGGTGGGGTGAAGCAGGAGGATGGGGAGCATAATCACCTTCTCCTCACCTGAAAGAAAATTCAGCTATGAAGTTTTTCTTTCTTTACTCCACACAGTGCAACAAGACCAGGACACAATGTGTATACCATGTCCCAGAGGTTACTTCTCAAAGGTTGCTTCATCTACTGACGAGTGTAAATCCTGGACCAAGTAAGTCCCTGTATCTTGTAAGAGGACCACAACATCCAGGAGACTGGGAGAAGCTTGGGTAAAAGCATATTTCAGTGGGGCTTTTCAGGCTGTCTGCAGAGCACACAGAGCATCTCTGTTGGTAGTGCAGCGGTAAAAGCATTCTCACACTGAAGCTTGAGTTCTCTCTCTTGGAGTAAGAGAGAGCAGTAACAACAGAACTGCTGAGCTGATGCCGCTGAAAATAAAGATGGTATTTGAGGTTCTTATGGGTGGAGAAATGCAGGAGAAATGTATGTTACAACAGAAAGTGCTACTCTGCATAAATGTAGGAGCTGTGACAAGCTTCCTCTTTGAGAACCTAGGCTCTTTGTCTTTCTTTTTCAGCTGTACAGCCCTAGGAATGACAGAAGACATGCCTGGGACTGAGAAGTCAGATGCAGTTTGTGCAGAATGGAAGGTGCCAGAGCCATCGGAAGATGGTACGTGTCCTTGTACAGGTTATCTGTTAGAAAGTGGCAGGCAGGAGGAGGGATGTGTTTACTAGCGGTTTTGGCTGGCTTAACTCCATTCCCATTGTGGGTGACTTTAGGGGGAGCTGCTGTAGGCCAAGACCGTGTTCTTGGAAAATCCCACCATTAAAGATTGCTTGAAGCCTTCTGGCTCTAGGGCCCATGTCTACTGCTAAGCAGACCTTTACATCTCCCACTGAAACTGCATGGCAAGCAGCAATGCTGTTATACCCATGACCTCCAGGGGAGAAAGCACAGCCCGTGGGCTGCTGGCAGCTTGAAAGAGGACTTCCAGAGGAATATGACTGGGTCACACCTCTCTGAGACACAATGACTCTGGATTCTTATAGAGATGGTACCTTCAGTAAGGCTGCTTGTCACAGAACTGCATGAGTTCTAAGCTGTTGTCTTTATTACAGAAACTGAAAATCAAATAGGAAGGAAAAAAAATCTCTTGTGGAAAAGCAGTTGAAATGAGCAAGGGTTGTCATACAGCTGAGTACAAGCTGTGTGTTGATGGCACTATCTTTTTTACATCCTGCAGGAACAAACCAAATCTTATACGTGTTGATTGTCGTCTCATTTTTTGTGGCAGTAATTGGCATTGTCATCTTCATTGTATACTACAAAAATAAGGGGAAAAAGCTGACAGGTACGTGTGGCTAACGATATTCATGCATGTGACAACTGCATGGCTCTCTGTACACTCTGATTTCATGGATAACTACCATTACCATGTTTAACTACATGCTGCTCTGCACCACGTGGCACAGAAGAGCCCTTGGCCAAAGGGAAGCAGACACAGACACAGGGAGCTTTCACCACCTCTTGTCTCCTTTGTCCCACTCTCCCTCCTCCCCTGAAACCGACATCTGGACAGGTTAAAATATGGATTTCAAGACAAAGGCCTGTTGTGCTTTTGAAAACATGATGGAGGCAGTGTTTTTAGCTGAAGTTCTGATGAGGTATGGGGGAAATACTAGAAGGAAATAGAATAAAACAGTAAAATTAGAAAATCAGAAAAATTTCAGCAAAGACATGCTGAATGACATTGGGGTTCTCAGTATATTATTAATTCAGTGGAATTACCTTCAACAGTTACTCAACTCTCTGTTAAGCCCTGGATCTCCTTAGTTAAGGACATACCCATATTGTTCCATTCACATTTTATTTTCTCCCCTGAAATACGGAATGTTTTTCCTTGTGTAGTTTTCCCATTGTCTCCTTTCCCAAGCCCTAGCAATGTATGAAATGTTTTGGGAACAGTGGAAGGGAAGAACAGTAACCCTGTCTTGTAAAGTATATTTCAGCCTGTGTTTTAGAAATAGGGTGCCTCTGCCACACTAAACATGGGTTGAGCTAAATCTGGAATTCCTGGGATGGGCTGGAGGAAATGGTGACTCTTCTTGCAAACCAAATACGATGCAAAGCAGGTTAGGGGGGAGTTCTTTTTATTTGACATTTCTATTGCCCTGCTCTTCTGCAGTGAGAGTCCTTCATTGCCTTTGAGTGGTCTGTTCTGCTAACCAGAGCCCCAGAGGCTTGTAGGCTCAGGAAGAAGCTCTGCCTGCCTGACAAGATAGGGAATTGATGGTAAATGTGCAGGCTCAACATCAGAAGAACAGAGTCATTGCTGGGAACTGGCAGCGGATACATGGCTGATCTATCTTCAGACATACAAAACCAGCAAGTGTACATGAGACTCGAGCCCTACGAAATCTTCTGAAAGTATAAACAGAAAACAGGAATTGATAACTCTATTAAGTGGCAGCCTTTACCATAAAGTATGTTGAACTTAAAGCTTTTCCTTGGAAAATGCTCCAATTAAATGAATTTCCTCATTAAGTACACCCTGATTAAGGAATAGGCTGCATTTGAGCCTGCCATCCTGTGGTTTCAGTGGCTTACCCTCTTCTCCCCAGGCTCCTCACTCCTGTCTGAGAATGGCCTTTTGGCCATCCATGTGACTTCTCTTGAAATAGACCATACGGCTGCAAGTGGGTCGGTATTGGGCCAGTCATAGCCTGGTGTGACATATGACCAGGAAAGAAACCCCATTTGATGTGGAACACAGTTTAACTGTGGTCTATTTTAGGAGCTTGGAAACATTTGTTCCACAGAAATATATCCCTGTTCCAGTTACAATGAATCCTCAGCTAGAGTGATGCTGGGACACTTGAACAGTCAGTAAAAACAGTCTTGCTGGCTTTTATTTAATATGATATTGTGGACTGTGCATGACTGTGGGTGTTTTGGTTTGTGGCTAACTGCAGTGCCTGCTATATGTAACAGCTACTCTTTTTGTTTTCCCTACAGCAGATCTACAGAATTGGGCTAGCGAAGTGTGCAGCCAAATAAAAGGCACAAAGGTAAAGTCAAAGCCACTAGCATTTTCTCTTTGGTTTATGTTTTCCTTGCAGCATTCCTTAAACCCCTCCTGAAACAGACTCCACGTTAACATTTGGCTAAAAATCAAGTTTTTGGGTTCCTCCTTTGGTTTTTTCAATCTGGTTTTCTGTAAACGTGAGGCATATGAAATCACCATTCTCAACGAGCTTCTGAACCTGCTCTCCTATTTCAGACAGTTTGAACAGTTGGAAAAGTCTCTGTGATGGTTAAATATTTAGGAGGAGAAAGTTAAGCCCACCGGTTGCTGAACACCTGATTTTCTACCTAGCAGAAAGCCTTTCTAAATCCTAAGAGCAGGAAAAGCTTCAGCTCAGTTTGCACATTTTTATATACCAAAGTGCTCACAGGAGAGAAACCTGGACTTGCAGCAATGGCAAGAATGCCAGACATGAAAGGCAGTAAGCACAAGAGCCATCAGTTAAAGAAACTGGCTGGGAGACACCTGCATTCTAGTGCTTGCAGAAATCCTTCTTATCTATTCAGATGTGAAAAAAGTATGAGGTTTTTCTCTGGAAGAAAAACAGATCCCATGCTTGAAACACCCAGATGGGGACACAGATTCAAATGCATGTGCACTGCCTGCTTCACACCATGGACGTGGACTGAGGTGTTCAGGTGCATGCTCTCACCACCCCGTCTGGAGCTCTGTCTAGTTTAGCTGTTGAAAGACTCAAATTCCATTACTAAAAGAACCCCATACCAAATAAACCCACCTTTCTGATCAGGAAGTTCCTCTTTTGTCCCATAATTTTTTGTGCAACCTGCCTTGGCAGCTTCTCAGATCCTCTGAGACAAAGGAGTGAATCAACAGCAATTAGTAGCTGGCAGCATTTACACTTTCCTTTTTATCCTGGAAGATCTGAACAAACATTGCAGATGAAAGGTTATCAGTTTCCAAGTAACAGTTTTTACAGCACAACTTCCATGAACTGAAGGGAATCCTTAAAGTATTTCCCAACCTTTTTTGGGGAGGCTGCAACCAAAAATACAGCTGTACTTTGACAAGTAGTGGCAACATGAATGGCATTGTGGGGCTTTGCATTTGTTGTCCTAACATTTTCTAGGTTCAAGGAACATTACCCATGTGACTTCTTTTTTTCTAGCTTGTCTTGGTCCCTCTGAATCAACTCAGTTTCTTTCTTCCATCATTACTGATAATAAAGATTTTACTCCCAGTAAGGCCCTCACAGTTCAACAGCCTTTCAAACACAGAGGGAGTTTCGAAACCCTTATAAGCTGTTAGGTAATTCCTATTGATGGTCTGTAAGGAACAACAGAATGCAGTGACTCTTCTAGATTTATTAACTCCTAAGTGCCTTCTTAAGAACTAGGAATAATCATCTCCCAAAATTAAATGCTATTGCCCCTGAGGCCTCCAGATATTTTTCTGAACACCCACTGAGCCCAGCCCCACTGCTCACAGTTTCACAGCAGAATGGAATTACCCCTGAAGAGTCAAATATAGCGGTGTTCCTAAACCTCAGCAGCTCCACACCGAGAAGGAACTGAGATTTGCCTTTTCCTCTGTCTAGAAAGATAACCTTCTGCTGGTCTGTTTTGTAAATAAGTTTTTCTTTTGAATTTCTTTCAGGAGACCCCCAGAGATACCTCTGTTACCATGAACATCGTGAATGTTGTTGTCCCCCAGACCTCTGAAGGCATGCGCCTCCTGGATCCTGCTGGCTCTCCTGCCCCTGGAAACTCATGCTGCATCAGCGGACATTCTCCTTGCAGGAATGGGAGGCCCAGCATGGCACCGTGCGAGGTGGGAGGGAGCCTACAAGGGTTTTCTGTGGTAACTGAGACTGATGATGACCATTTCCCACCAGTTCCCACAGAAGATGAATACACGGATAAGGATCTCAGTACCGCTGATTATTTGTCCTTACCGAGCAGGACTGCCAGTAAAACCGTGTCGTCATTTTCTGAACCGATGGAGGCAGGGGAGAATGACAGTTTAAATCAGTACTTTTCAGGGATTGGGAGCACAGAGGACATATCAGTCTCTCAAGGCTTTCACCCTTTCACGGATGGGGCACACACTGACACGGACAAACTTCTTCAGAAATCTTGCCAACATGCCCACAGTTGCCCAAAGGAAATTGGCAACAAAGACACAGATCATTGTGTAACAAACTCTGACTCAGAGAAGATCTGCGTGAGGTGTGGCATTTTGTACAGGGAATCTCCCAGGAAGTGGAGCAAATCCTGTTTTGCTGCAGCTGACAGTGACTCCACCTCCCCAGAAACTGGATCCTATGCACAGTGCACCTGTGGCTTGAATTTTCTCTCTGCTGGTCAGAGCACACTAGCAAGTGACCATGGTATGGAAGATGCATCTTCAGATAGTACCAACATGAAGTACCAGAACACAAGCAGAAGCACTTCAGGGACAAACAAAAGCACTTCAGGGACAAACAGCAGCACTTCAGACCTCCCTCCAGCATCTGGTAAGCCCACTAGGCTTGACCCGTACACAGTCATATAGGATTATTCTCTCTGCTAGCTCAGTATTATTCGGAGGTCTGATTTAGGAAAAGGGGGGGGGGGGGAGAAGAATGAAATTATGACTTTTCACTTAATTGCCCTGAAGCTAAACGGAAAAAAAAAAAAACAACAAACTGAATCCTGAAATAGTAAAGCCATTTGGTTTGTAATGATTTCTGCGACAAGTATGAGCACTGTGAGGGACCATTGTCCTGCCCTGATCTAACCAGCAATGCCGAGCCCATCTTCTGGTTGTCACTGCAGAGGCCAGGCAACTCTGTTACTGAACTGTTTTAGTGATAGCAGATGTGTGTATTGGAGAAAACTGAGAAGGAGGAGAGTATAGGATCCTAGAGACTGAGTTAAGAAAGGATGCATAGCACTCAGAAGGGCAATTTTCCATTCAACAGTCTGCACTCACATTTTTGCCATTAGGTTTAAGTCCAGTTACATTTATGTGGTGGTCAGTGAAATTCCAGGCTTGAGCTGTTAATGTGGTGGCCATGACTGAGTCTGAAAGATTCTGCTCGGTTTTGTGCTTCTAGCTCTCTGTTTTAATTTGCGATGATATAAGCATTCACCTAAAAATAATTTCATGCAGACATTGTTTCTCTATGCTCTGTCTCCTAAACAGTACTGGAACACTGTTGCCAATTTACTAATTGTGTAACTGTATCAAAATTGTCAAATGAAAGCAGGTGAAATATCACTGAAGCAAAACTGGTGGAAGGGAAGTTATGAGCCTTTTCTGGATGAAACCTTCCTCTCTTTTTGCTATAAAAGTCTGCAATCTGCCTGTCATGTGTTACCAGTCACTTTAGATTATAATCTCTTAAGGTCCAATGCTTTATTTTTATTTATGTCAACACATTGCCAAGCATAATGAGACCTTGGTTTTGACTGGGCCGTCTAAGGATTACTGTAATACACATAACAGTTGTAAGCAGTTGCTCTTCTTTAAAACCATGTTATGCTTTAAAGTTTCTTACGGAGACATTCTTGTCAGTCTGCCAAAGCCCACAAGCAGCACTTTGGAAGGCCCTTCTCTCAATGCACATGCCATGTGGGAATCTGAAAATGTGTGTCTCAATCTTTCTGAGAGCAGATACTCCTTATGCCGTTTCAGTTTCCTGAAATCCTGACACAGTTTCACTGCCTGGTCCATACAAAATTCAGCACTGGTAAAGAGAACACAAAATTATCTTTTGTTGTTGTTGTTGGAAGGTGACTCTGAGGTACAACTGAAAGTGACATCATATTTGGCACTGCAGAAGTATTGCTTTTCTTTCTAAATCTGACAGGAAGAGGAAGAGAAAATATTAAGGAACAGTAGGGCAAACAAGAGAGTTTGGATTTAAGTGACATGCTAGAAAGTGCCATCTTGGATCTGCAGCATAATAATTTCTATGGGATTTTTATTGTGCCTGTGCCTTCAGGTATGTAGATGCTACAGTGCCATCTGGTGAAACAAGCACAGATGCTGTCTTCCTAATGTGCCATTTTTTAGGCATGAATGCTGGAAGGTACTGACTGAGCTGTGGGCAGCATGGGAGTGTGGGTTAGTTAATCTGCAGGTCAGGTGGCTTGCTGGCAAAGGGTTTCTTCTGTCCGCAGAACGGCCATGCCCTGCTGGCAATGCCTGGTTGCACAAGGAGTGGGACAGGGCTTAGCTATAGTTTCCACACTGAAGCACCCTGGCCACGCTGGGGCTGCACGTGGAGCTGCAGCGGCATCAGTCATTTTGCTGGGCCTTCTGCAGTGACCAGATGGAATAAACATGCATGCAAAATAACTTTCTGTAAAGCTTCTTAAAGCAACTGAAGCCACCAGGCTTCGCACAGTCATGCTAAGACAGAACAGTTCAAAAGAGGACGGCTTAAAAAATGGGAAGAAAAAGGCTATGGGTAATTCCATGAAGTTTTGGTTTTAGTTTCATAACACTCAAAATGACAATAGAAATTGCAAACTCTGTTCCTTCTGTGAAATAATCCTAGAAGACCAAAGTAAACCTCTAGACAGGTACCACTTAGAGGGATCACTGCCAGTGACGGAGTGAGCCTTTAAGTGCGCTTTCAAAACCCCCAAGCCTGAAGGCAGTCTGAACATGAAGCATCAGTTCATGACCACCCCAAATCATGTGTAGGGCTACAATATAAAGCATGGGTGCAGGAAGACTTAGGTGACTTGCAACTTGGAATGGTTTTCTCCGAATGCCTTTCTCTTCCAGATTCCAAACCAGCCCAGTTTGGCAGCAACAGTTCTTACCACCCAGAGGCCATCAGATGGCTTAGAGAAAATTAATCACCTGCATTGTTCCAGTTCATAGTGAATAATTAGTGCAAAAATTAACCTGTTATTGTAATTACTATCGTCAGGTAGTATGAAGAGATCAAAAGGCTGAAACCTTGCAGAGAACGATGCCTTCACTTATCCCCTGAACGCGTCCATTATACTTTTCAGGTTGGAAGCACATGTCTTAGTACAGTCCAGGAAGCTCTTGTGTCCATTTTCCGTGGTTTTGGGCCTCAAATACCCTTTTGTTCCATCACAGTGCCTTCAGAAAGCAATGAAGATTTGGCAGCCACATTCAGCTAGACATTATAAATGTGTTAATCTGCCCCTCATCCCCACTGTCACATATATTTCTAAATTCTTGACCTCGTACTGAGCACTGGTAAAACATCTCTGCAGTACCTTTCGCAAGTGATAGGACACCTGAATGAAGGCAAACAGTTGTTTCTGTATTCCCATTATGCCTAATAGTTTTGTTGATGGCAAACAGCTGAAACAAATCGAACACAGGGGATGCAACTGGCAGGGAAAAAACTCCTGCAGAGAAAACTCCTATTGACACCTCATGTTAATCAACAACACTTGGAAAGAAAGCAAAGAGCTAGCAATGCAGTGGTTTAGCAGAAATAAATAGGATTGCTTGAGGGGGGCTATTTAGAGGGACATTTGAGTGATATTCAGACTCGGCTATGAGCACATATGGGTCTGAACTCAACACAGCTGGAGCCCAGTGTCCTATGCTGATGTGCAAACATCACCTGTGACTGCTAGGAAAACAGGATTTCTCTGCGCTAGGCCATGCTTAGCTGCAGTGAAAGAGTGTCTCAAGTGTTGAGGATCATAATGAGGAAAGGCACAAAACATCTAAGAGCTGTCAGATCAGCCCGCAAGAAATGATTAAGTGAAGCACAGCAGGAAGAACATTCCTTAGGAAGAGTGTTCATAGGCTAGGAAGATTTTTCTCTTTTTAACTTGGTTGCTTCGGTTTGATTTTGAAACTTGAACAAGTTTGTTAGTTTGTGGTTGAAAGTTTGCTCTGAGTTATTTTCTTTCTGCTCTGAGGGTAGTCTATTAATTCCCAAGCCTGGTCGTACTGTCACTTGTGTCAGCAACTTAGTCCCTGAATGGTAGAAAGATTGAATTTATACTGACAAATCCCTAACCACGGGCAGATAGACTGAAAAAGTAACTATGTTATGTTGCTATAATATAGACTGCCTCTTCGCTGGAGTCAGCATATATCCAAGAAAATCCATGAGAGCACTAGATGAGTACCAGAGTGTACCTACAGGGAGGATCAGGACAATATCAGATAACTGCCTCTGTCATTAGGACACTGTGTGACTGTATGGTCTGACGTTAAGTCTTTCAGTATGTATTCAAGAAGCTTGCTACCTAGCTCATACGGTGCGATTGATTGTTTACCAAAGGGGAAAAGAACCCCAATGTATTGCTTGGGACTCTAAAAAAATTATCTCATAATTAGAAATAATGACCATTTCCTCACAAATCATGGGCAGAGGCACTTTGGATGCAGCTTGTGCATCGGGCAGCACGGAGGGCATGAGATTGATGCTCTCACTTTTGCTTCCAAGAGCACAGCTGAGAGAGAAAATGTTTCCAGGCCTTCCAGTCAGGATCCCTGTGGGTGACTGACTTCATCCTAAGGAGGCAAAAATGGAAATAATGAGAAGGTACAGTGGAAGGCATAGATTAAAAGAGCATCCTTGTGTCACGGGGAAAAAACAGTGGAACAAGAGTAAAGCCACCACTGCGGATTAAATTCACAGTGCTGAGTGTCCATCTTGTGAGGGGAAAACACTAATCACATATGTCTTCTTCTCTCCCCCTCCTTCCCCAGGAAATGTGACTGGAAACAGTAACTCCACCTTTATCTCAAGCGGACAAGTAATGAATTTCAAGGGCGACATCATTGTAGTCTACCTTAGCCAGAACTCCCAGGAGGGCGCAGCGGCCTCGGGGCCCAGCGAGGAGAACGTGGGCAGCCCGGTGCAGGAGGAAAACCTCAGCCGCTGCGAGACGTTTGCCGGCAATGCCCAGCACTACAAGGAGAAGTGTGCGGAGCTGCAGCAGGGCTCCTGCCTGGCGGCGGGGAGCGGGGGGCCACGGTGGCCTGCCGGATCCCTGCCCCAGCACAGCCCATCCTGCCGCAGCCAGGCCTTGCGGCCGGTGCAGGAGGAGGGGAAGCTGGGACACTTCTCGGAGAAGGTGTTGAACTGAGGCCAACCGGCAAGGGGTGGTGGGGCTGCCGTGGGGCTGCCGAAATCCCGGGTGTTGCGACAGGTATGGAGACTGTTGCTGCCCGTGGGGTATCCCAGGAAGTCTTACAGCTGGAAAGGACGCTTGTGGCACAAGTGCCAGCGGTGGTGCTCTTGCTGAGGAGGTTACTGGTAGGGAAAGGCACACACGTGAAGCAGGCACGCTGCCCTCGTTGCAGAAGCAGCAGCAGGGCTTTCTCCTCTCCCTCACAAGGTGGTTGGCTCCGACTGGACCCCACTCCCTGGCACCTCTCCACAGCAAGCAGCAAAGGAGGGTTGATCCTTGTAGCCCAGGGCGTGGTGAGGAGGAAAACGTTGCTGGCCGGGCATGTGGGGCACTCCCAGAAAGAGGATAACATGGTGGAGGATGCACTGAAAGGGGCCCTGAGCTCTGCCGTGGGTGTTTCTTTTTGTAACTAAGCTGCGCCCATTCTGCTGGGTCCTGGGCCTCCTCCATGCCTCTGTGGTGGAAGGAAGTGGCAGCCACCTCTGCTGCTCAGCGTAGTGACACTGGCAACCTTTGCCTCCCTGCAGAGATCAGGCAGGCGCTGTCATCCTTTCCCATCTGTCCCCAAGGAAGCAGATGTTCCAGTCTCCAAACAGGGCCAGAGCCAAGATCCTGGCCTGCCTCTTATTACCGTGTGGGTAAGCATAGGTGTAATGCTGCCCCACGAGCACTGTGACAGGCAAAACAGCTGGTATGCCTTAGAAGCATATTAGATAAATCCTGAGCAAAGATCATTTATAGTTTTGGAGCCTGATTCACCTCTGCCATATTGCACCTCGCCAGAGGAATCTACACCCCTGAAGATGAGAGTGACAAGTGCCTGGCATGCTGCTGCATGAATAATGTCACTGAAGTTTAAGACACAATGCTGCTAGCAGGTGGAGGAAGGGTCTGTGATAACCAGCTGTGGTCATTTCCTGAGTGACAGGAGAGGGAGGGATTACCTAGCAATGGAGAGTTTGATCAGGGTCAAACACACATGCCTTCATCTGCCCAAATACTTCTGTCATTCCCTCTGACATTTTCATTAGCAAACAGCTCTACTTAGGTAGCATGAAGCTATTTCCAGAGCTCAGCCTGCCTGAGCTGAAATCAAACTGTAGCCACCGTCACGATGAGAGCCGATAAGCAATGGGACCAAAGGTTCAGATTTAAAGAATAATAGTAGTTGTAGTTAGAAGGGAGTCTTAGCTACTGGATTGGCTTTGGTTCAGGTCCTGTATCCTGCAGCCTCCTCCAGCAGCCACTGTGGAAAGAAAGGTGAAGGGAACAGAGTCTCAAGGAACTCACAAGAGGAAAAGATAATATTTTTAATGATTTCCTGACAAGGGGTAATTCTCTGACATTCTCCTGTGCAAGTGAGCACTGCAGGAGGCTATCTTCAGTCTGAGCCTTCAGGAGGGTCAGTGCTGTGTTTCTTGCCAGACAGTAAAGGGATCTCTTACCTAGTGTGATGGAAGAGGTCTCTGGTAGGGAGGGCTCCTCCCTGAGGAAGTTTTAAAGCTGAGGGGTTCACTGTGTAGCTGCTCTGTTTGCAGTAGTATTTCTCTGCAGGTGAAGAGCACCTATAAAGCTGACAAGGTGACCACTGTGTCATGATAATGGATGTGTCACCCATAATACAAAAGGATGGGCTTAGCCAACTTCACCTCTCAGGAGAACAGTTCTGCATTATTTATATATCTGGGATATAAAGTTCAGTACAAAATTTCAAGTCTCTCTTGGGTGGCTGTCAAAAAGGGCACTGAACAACCAGTCTCACCTCTGCATGGCCCTCCTAGCCTAGACTCAGCCAGGCAGGTAGGTTGTCCCATTCAGTGATGGCTAGGTCTGCCTCTTTGAAGGTGTGTAACTGAGGCTCTTTTATCTGTGGTATTCTTTTGTCCTTCTTGCTGGATCCTTTACAACCTACTTCTAGCCTCTGCTGGCCTAATTCACTATACCCTAGGCACTGGTGGAGTAGGGACAAAGACACAGAGCCATCAACACCTTGATGCAAGGTGGTGCAGATACTTCCCCACTTCATATTTTCAGTCATGTTTTCCTGGAAAGCATTAATCCAGGATATCAGCACCACTTACAGGGCAGAATTCTTGTGCTTGGCTCTGGCTAAACTACCTGGCCGCAAGTCCATCTTCTACTCCTTCTCCCTCTGCAGCTTTTTTCTTCCATTAGTTTGTATCTGCCACCAGAAAGCAGGCTCAAAATCCTGATTTCAGAGAAGACAATGGCAAGTTTACTAGGTGTCCTCAGTCCTCTGAATTTCAGGATCCTCCTGAGCAAGGACTGAAACTAAGATCATCAAGCGTGAAGAAATGGATCATAACAAACTTGGCATTTTGTCCACTTCCTTATGGGAAACGTGATGTTCCAACAGATCCATATTTCCTATAAAGTCTACCCAAAAGTGAAGAAACCATATCACACTCATCATTGTGCTGCATGTTCCCTGGGTCTCTGTCTGGCTGCTTAGACAAGGATCCAAAGGGACTTTTTATCCTCATGATTTCATTTGCCATCAGTTTGGAGCTGGGGCTGGTTTTTAACATCTGTTTGTACAATGGGGCCCTATGCATTGGGCACTAATTTGGAGGCTTCTGGCTGCTATTGTAATACACATAATTAATGATAATAAAAATCTTAAAGATCTACTTGAGAAAAAGTGAAGATTTTCTTTAAAGTAATGGACAAAAGCAAATACATTTTTATATGCCTATTTTGACCAAAAAAAAAGAAGAATTTAATGTGAACATAAAAACTTTCCCAGTCAAGTCTTTTTAGTATCTTTTGCATGTAGAATTGTTTTAACAGAACAGAAACCCATGCTCATACACAGAACCAAACAGGAACTCTCATAGATCTGGTGTAGTAATGCCTTACTGCTGAGAACTGGTCACCTATTCCAGCTCATTCCTGAAGTGTCCTCCTGCACAGCATGCATTTTTACAAGTCTTTCAGTCTGAGAAGCCACAACATGCATTATTAATGATGAATATACTAGGTGCTCTTGAAACTCAGCTACTTCAGGCCTGGCAGGGCAGCAGTACTTCTGCATATAACCATGGAAAAATGAGGAGCAATCTATTGCTCAAGGGCACCGGAACAGCCATTCTTATCCACATGGAAAACAAGATGGCAAAGATCAGTATAAGCAGTAACTGCTGTTAATCTGTGTACTCTGCTACATGTTCACATAGAGATTGGAAATCACTTTAAGAGGCTTACAGCATATCTGGGAGTAGTATCACTAAAATGTCATATAATTTTTACTTGTTCATTCAAGTTCCCTTCATTTTATCATACTGATGGTGTCTGAGCAATTACACTCCTGTGCCTATTAGAAAACAGAACTCTGCTGAAGCATGTCTGTGCTAATCAGGTATTTAATAAAGCTGTAGTTTTATCAGATACCTCTATTCAACTTAGGCAGCAGTGCACCCTCACTAGCACCCTTAAAAACCATCTGCAGCAACTGGAGAATTCACTTCTGCCAGTGCATGATACTAGACATGGTAAAATGGCTGCAAACTCTTCATGTGAAAAAGTTATTTCTGGAATATGTAGCATATATTATTAATAGATACTTAATAATAGTCACTGAAAATTTGCAGTGTACTTGATCAAGTTGCCTGAGGTTTCTTGCAAGGAATCATTGACTGGTTTGGGTTGGAAGGGACCTTCAAGACAATCTAGTTCCAAGCCACCTGCCATGGGCAGGGACACCTCCCACTATACCAGGTTGCTCAAAGCCCTGTCCAACCTGGCCTTGAACACTGCCAGGGATGAGGCAGCCACAGCTTCTCTGGGCAACCTGTGCCAGTGCCTCACCACCCTCATAGTGAAGAATCTCTTCCTTATACCTCATCTAAATCTACCTTTTGTCAGTTTAAAGCTATTCCCCCCTTATCTTACCTTATCCCTACACACCGTTGTAAAAATTCCCTCTCCAGATTTCTTTAGGTACTGGAAGGCTTCTATAAGGTCTCACAGAGCCTTCTGTTCTCCAGGGTGAACAACCCCAACTCTCTCAGCCTATCTTCACAGGAGAGGTGCTCCAGCCCTCTGATCATCTTCATGGCCTCCTCTGGACTTGCTCCAACAGTTCCACGTCCTTCTTGTGTTGGGGACCCCAGAGCTGGACACAGTACTCCAGGTGGGGTCTCACCAGAGCAGAGGGTCAGGATCACCTCCCTTGACCTGTTGACTAGCTTATGTTAAGTTTCTCCTCAACCAACACCATCAAGTCTTTCTCCTCAGGATGGCTCTCAATCCATTTTCCACCCAGTCTGGCTTTTTGCTTGGGGTTGCCCCAACTCAAATGGAGGCCCTTGCACTTGGCCTCATTGAACTTTGTGATGCTGAACCACTCCAAACTTTATAAGCTAGTTTTCCAAACCTCCTTCCAAATGGCTGTTGCTGTTTTCAGTCTACCAGGAGTAATTTGATGTTGACCTGAAAGGCACATGGTAGGGAAACCTGCCCACAGCGCTGCTTTACAGCACACTTGCTGGGACATGCTGGCACCAGAAAGCTCTGCCTGGCAGCATTTGACCTTTGAGGTTTCCCACCCCCTGTTCCTCACAATGTTAAATGCCAATAGTTGGCATTCACCTTGGCTGGGTTGTAATGATATCTCTGAAAAAGCCAAATTGGTAATTTTACAGCAGTCACAATCACTGCTGAAGCAAGGGACATGTGATTCCAGGTGTTGATGGAAGCAAGTCCTATTTCAGACAGAAAGATTGTCTCTTCTTGCCTGGCATTATCCTTATTTCCAGA